AGTAGATAGCCATTCAATAGCCTGAAGAAAATTCGAAACGCGTCGCTTTACAAGCTTACCAATTTATTCACGTATCGTACAATTTTTTGTTAAACTGATAATAAAATAATTCAAAAAAACTAAAAAAAACTTTCTTTATATAATTCAAAAAACTCTCGTTCATTTATTTATTTACTTATCACTTTTTTTCATACCAAAAAAGTTTTCTTATTTTTTCCTCTATTCTAAAACAAATTTCACTTGATTTTTCACTTGAAATTAAATCAATCTTTTCTTACCTCATAAAAATTCAATATTTTTCCTTACTAAAAAAACAAAAAAAAGATATTTTCTTGTACTCATTCTAAAATTTATCTTTCAATCAAATAGTCAATACTTTTCACTTGCAATGAATTGATACATTTTTTCAAAGAAATTCACCTCTCTCATACTCAACAAATTATTCAATCTTTATCACTAAATTTATTCTCTAAGTTTAATTTTTTGTCCTAAATTTAACTCTCTCAAAGAAAATCAAACTTTATTTTCAATTCCAAAAAGTATCTATAAACTATTCAATTTTTACAATTCATTCTTAGAAATTCTAAAAAGGATTCATTTCTCTTCAATTTTTCAACCTATAAAAAACAAGTTTATTTCATTCACATTCTTTCGGATAAAAAAAGCACTAAAAAAACTTTTCCAAAACTAAAAAATTCACAAAAAAATAATAATATAAAATTAGAAATACAAAAAAAACAAAATTTATTTAATTTATTCATATATTTACTCACTTATCTATATATTTATTTATTTATTTCTTATTTGTTCGGTTTTTTGCTCCATTTCTTTACACCATTGTTAATTCGCTTTAAATCTAAATTCACACCCACACTAAATTAGTTCAACCATCACCATTTTCTCAGTTGACGAAACAGAATTAACAATGTCTTCAATTACCATCTTACCACCTACAACAACATCATACTCATCAGCAGCATCATCAAATCTTCCCAACATCAATATTCCACCTCTTCGACCATCATATTTATCATCAAATATTCCACCACCAAATATTCCACCAACATACCACCATTTAGTCCAACAAATTCCACGAAAACCATCTCTTTACGGTGCTGGTCAACGAAAATTTAATCATTTCAAGAGATTTCAAACAGGAACAACAACAACATTTAATGGATATACAAATATTACCGGCTTTCCTCAAACCATCATTCCACCTCGACCAGCACCACGTCGTCATCCACCACCAACATCATCATCACCCTATTACCACCAACATAATCATCATCCACACCACCAATATTATAACCACCATCATTATCCTCATCAAAATTTCAACATTAACACCAACAACTTACCATCATTATTATCCATCAACCCCTTCCATTTACCACCACGCCACCATACACGCACCTACCACCAAGCCCAACAATTTCATCCAAATCATCAACAACATTTTCCACGATCATTATCACGTTCCCGCTTCCATTTATTATCACAATTACCATCACGATCCCGCTCACGTTCCCATTCAAATTATCGTCCAACACCACCACCCATCAAACCCCGCCGAGTCCACCAACAACAACATCAACAGAAATTTAATCGTCCTCATTATCATCAACAACATCATCGAAATTATCACCATTCACCAACACCAAATTCAAATATTATTTATAATGATAATAAACGTACATTAAATGGAATTATCTTATCTGATTCAATGTGTTCCCGGCTTAGAATGTATGCCATTAAAAAATTACCTAATTATAATGTAGAATTAAGTTATGAATCCGGATGTGATATTTATGGTATGATTAACTGGCTCAAAACTCCGGAAGGTCAAAATACGGTAGGAAATAAGGACTTAATAGTTTTGAGTTTGGGTACTAATGACGTGGGGCGGTACGGCGTTGACGTTTCTCTGAAGCGATGTTGTGAGCTCATAAGTTTTATTCGACAGTCATTCCCTGGCAACCGAGCCATTGGTTGGTTAGCTTTGTCACCACGATGGAAACCAACGAGATTCGTCTCTGCGGCCAACATCGGACAAATGCATAGTCAATTTAATGAGCGTCTTCGGATCTTATCCCAGCAATGGGATTTTGATGTTGTTGACGCGCGCTTAGGACTTGTGGATATGCGTGTAGAGGATGGGCTACATCCATCCAATACCACTGGCAAATGGAAATATGAAGGAGCACTTCGTGAATGGTTCTCTTCACGTGCTGTCGCACGTTTTTCTTCTTCTTATTTTCAGCGTCGTCGATATCAAACAACACCAACTACACCCACGACGACAACAACATTATATCCCAACAACAATTACAATAATAATAATCAAATACAACGGCAAACCCAATATCGCCGAAATTATTATCAACAACAACAGCAACAAAATTATATAAGGTCAGTGACAACTTCTCATAATAGAAATAATAGTACTCAGCCGTTTATAGTCACAACAGACAGGATAATAGAGAAAGTAGAAAGAAGTAGCAATAGACACCCATGTTTTCCATCGAGATCTCTAATAAAATTTTATCCACATAAATTAAGAACTAAAGA